TTTACCAAGCATGATGTCCTTCTCCAGGGACTGGTCCCTCCTGATAACATGTCCAAAGTCTCACCATCCTTGCTTCTAAGGAGCATTCTGGCTGTACTTCCTCCAAGACAGATTTGTTCATTCTTTTGGCAGTCCATGGTGTTTTCAATATTCAAGCATTCAAAAAGCCAACACTGTAATTCAAATGCATCAATTCTTCAGTCTTCTTTATTTATTGTCCAGCTTTTGCATGCATGTGAGATGACTGAAGTATCATGGCTTGGGTCAGGTGCACCTTAGTCCTCAAAGTGACATCTTTGCTTTTCAACACTAAACTTTACTCTGTTACAAATGAAATCAGTTACTGGGGGAAGAGATTAGGAGCTGTTTTATGGGCTATTTCTGACCCCAGGCAAAATCTCTGAGACCTGAGGATTCTGGAGCTGGGAGTGGGGACAATGACAAGCTTTCCTCTGAGCGACACCCCTGCTCCAGGAGCTGAGCGCTCAGTTTCAGGAAGGGGAGACAGCAGTCTATGGTGGTCCTGTCTGCTTGCCTCTCCTGGCATGGAACACGGCCTCACTATCGGGGCAAGAGTGATAAGTGCTCCCGTATTCTCAGCGCACCCTGCTCAAAGTAGAGCCTCCATTCCACTACTGGGGGCTGGGCAGAAGAAGGGAACCCTCATCTCTCAGCTGGGGGCAGGCTAGAAAAACCGACATCTTGTTCCTCCCAGGAAGAAGGCTTCCATCTGGGTGCTGTGTTCTTGGTTGCACCTGTCTGGAGTGGAGTCTCCACTTGGCTGAGCTGGGAAGGGGAGAGTGGGAGGGAGAGAGATCTTGGTTCAAATACCACAGACTATGGTCTTTCTTAAGGATTTTCATAGACATTCTTGAATAGATGTTTCTTTATTTGCTGTTTGCCTTAGGACCATTTCCAGAATCTTTAAATGTTTATTGTAAATGTCATAGGGTTGCTATGAGTCGGAATCAACTCAACAGCCAGGGGTTTGGGTTTTGATGTGTTTTTAATACTTTTCACTAGTTTCCTTGGGGAGCGGGTCAGCGGAGTGCCTCACACTGACGTGTCACGTTCCCACACGTGTCATGGGATCTCCTCCTAACAAGTGCATTTTATTCCAAGAAAACAGCCAGTGCAAAGGCCCGAAGAAGATGGTGTGTTCCAAGAACAGCAAGACAGCTAGAGAACACAGGGCATGAGGGGAGATGGGAAGGTAGGCGGGAGTCAGATACCTGAGAGTTTTCTAGGCCAGGACAAGGGTGTAGAAAAGAAAACAAAGAAACACAGACAAATTTGGGATGCTCTAGAAGTCAAGTCGATAGGACGCAATGGAATGGCTACAGGAGTCAGTGACAGAGAGGCTTCCATAGTGACAAGTTGGTTTGTGCCCAGAACAAATGATAGGAACCCAGATTTTTAACCTAGGGAAGTGGTTTTCTCAAAATTGGGAGGGGAGGGGGTAGACTCAATTACTACTGTACTTGCAACCTTACAAACCTTATACCTTACAACTACACTTATATCTTACACCAACCCTGTGTCAATGCTCATATTACTACATCCACCTACTTTACAGAGGGACAAACAGGTTAAGCAACTACCCAAAAACCAACAGCTAGTAAATAACAGACCAGAGAGTCAACTCCAAAGCATATACCCCATATACCCAAACCTTCAAAGAGGACTGAGAGCTAATTTAGGGCTCACTGTGAAAGGCTGGCCAACATGGATCCAGAAGGATAAAATCAAGGGGGAACTGTGTGGTTTACAGCTGGAGTGGAAGGAAGAGAAAATAACTGTGTTCTAGACAGATACTCCCAAGATTAGGAAGCAATCTCAAAGCTTCAATCTACCACCACCACCAGTTGCTGTCAACTCCGACTCATAGGGACCCCATGTGTGTTAGAGTAGAACTGTGTTCCATAGGGTGTTCAATGACTGATTTTTTGGATGTAGATAGCCAGGCTTTTCTTCCGAGGCACCTCTGGGCATACTTCAACCGCTCACCTTTTGGTTAGCAGCCAAGTGCAATAACCATCTGTACCACTCAGGGACAGGGGAAGGAAAGGTGGGCATACTCTCAGGGGGTGCCTTTCTCTCATCTGCTCTCTGTGATGATCATTTCATTCCTTCGCTACTCTCCTCAGCCCTCCTACTCACTAATCTCACTCAGCCATGATCTAGCCTCACAGTTGGGACAGAACTAGAAGCCATCAGCTGAAAAGCCCTCCATGTGGTGTCACTATGTGGACAAAGCCACCAGCATCTGCAGTCCCCAGCATCTGTGGCCTGTTCAAAGGCCTCTCACATTCTGGAAGCTGCTCTCGCCTGTGTCTCAACTTCTTCCACTCTACCTAGTTAGTTCTTTCATCTGCATTCAGACTTGCATTCCTATCTTTAATTAAACCCTGCCTGGATCCCACAGCTCTCTGCTATATACACACCCACTCCTCCCAGCTATACACACACCCACCTCTATACACTCCTTCACAGCCTAACCTCTTCCATGCCCTTTATTGAACAATCTACTCCAAACCAGTTTGTCCCCACCACAGGACCAATAGTCACCACTGTAGGTAAATCCCATGGATATTTTTCTATCTCCGTCTTAATCTCTTACCTGCTTTCTACACAGTCACTGTCCCGTTTCTTTTCCTTGGTTCCCATCACATCCACTCTGTCTGGTTTCCCTCCTAACTCTCTGGCTGCTCCTTCTCAGTTGGCTTTGAGAGTTCATCTCCTCCTTTTTTCTCCTAAATGTGCCCTAAACTCTACCATCACTTCCACTGCCCAACCTAATTCAGTTCCACCTCCATTTCCTTCATCTCAACACTGTTCACCCATTTGCTCAAGCCATAAAACGTAACAATTATCCTTGATAGCCCCTTTCCCTTGTTGTAGAGAAAAACTTGAATGTTGTTTCAAGTTAAAACAGGGAGGTTTATTAAGGGTTTAAAACAACTGCAATTAGGGAACTATGTAGCCCATTGAAAATGGAACCAAGTAGTCCAGGGACAGTTTCGTTATACAAGTATTCTTATGGGGTAAAAAGAGGAACCAAACCACAGAGAGGGCAATTACAGTAAAATCAATGAATATTGTAATAATCACACTCTGATTGGTTACTGGTTATTAATAGTAGAGTCAGTGATTACAGATAGTTTCACAGGATGCTTACTTACATCATGGTCACAAGATGTTTACATATATTTTCTTTGTCTATCTTGCAAAAATATCTTGTTGACAACAGCACCCAGACAGCACTCCTCCTGAGTACGTGCATTTTGAGGGATGCAGATGGTCACTTGGTTAAGACTCTTCAAGGCATATGGTTTCATATCTTGGTTCTGACCACCGAGGAAAAATGTTTTTCTCAAAAAAAACATAGCTGTTAGTCTAGAATCCAGGTTAAAATTAGACAGCATGGTCATCACATTATGCCTCTGTCTCACTGACCACACTGAAAGTTGTCTTTTCCTGAGATACCCTCATGACCAGATTTAACCATTCCCAAAGTTTGACGATTTTACCACTTGAACAGCTTTCAAATCTGGTCAATTTTTCTCTATTTTCATCACCGCGACCATCTCTCTTATGTAGATGAATGCAATAAGTTGCTAAATGGTCCTCACCCCTGCCAACTCACTCCACTCCCCGAATCTAATCACATAGGGATTGTTGTTGTTGTTAGGTGCTGTAGAATCAGTTCCAACTCACAGCGACCCTACGTACAATAAAACAAAACACTGCCTGGGTCGTGCCTCATTACCACAGTCATTGCTATGCTTGAGTCCATTGTTGCAGCCACTGTGTCAGTCCATCTTGTTAAAGGTCTTCCTCTTTTTCGCTGACCCTCTACTTTACCAAGCATAATGTCTTTCTTCAGGGACTGGTCCCCTCCTGATAACATGTCCAGAGTACGTGAGATTAAGTCTAGCCATCCTTGTTTCTAAGGAGCATTCTGGCTGTACTTCTTCCAAGACAGATTTTTTCTTCTGGCAGTCCACGGTATATTCAATTCTTTGCCAATACTACAATTCAAAGGCATCAATTCTTCTTCAGTCTTGCTTATTCATTGTCCAGATTTTGCATGCATATAAAACAACAGAAAATACTATGGCTTGGGTTAAGCCCACCGTGGTCCTCAAAGTGACATACTTGCTTTTCAACACTTTGAAGAGGTCTTTTACAGCAGAGTTGCCCTATGTAATTCATTGTTTGATTTGACTGCTGCTTCCACGGGTGTTGACTGTGAATCCAAATAAAATGAAATCCTTTACAACTTCAATCTTTTCTCCGTTTATCCAATTATCATAATGTTGCTTATTGGTCCAGATGTGAGGATGTTTGTTTCTTTATGCTGAGGTGTAATCCATACTGAAGTCCGCGGTCTCTGATCTTTATCAGTAAGTGCTTCACTTTCAGCAAGCAAGGTTGTGTCATCTGCATATCCCAGGTTTTTAATTAGTCTTCCTCCAATCCTGATGCCAGGTTCTTCAGAACATTGAGTAAAGTATGGTATAGGGTCACTAGGAGTCGGAATCAACTCCGCAACAAGGGGCTAGATTTTTTTTTTTTTTTGATATGGTGAAAGGCTGCAACTTTGACTCACATTTTTCCTGATTGTAAAGCAGGCAGTCCTGGTGCTACAGTAGTTAAGAAATAGCTGCTAACCAAAACACAGGCATTTAATATCCACCAGCCCACTCTTCAAAAACCATATGAGGCAGTTCTACACTGTCATAAGATTATCATAAGTCTAAGTCAACTGGATAGCCATGAGCATTGTTTGGGCTTTTACTTAGAAAGAAAACACATGGGGCAGTTTTACAGAAGAACTAATAACACTACAAGCACAAAAATACATGTATTAACTCCTAGACTAATCTTCCATTAAACATTATGAAAACGAAAGCCACTCAGACTGCGTCCTCTCCCTCTTACTCTCCCGAAAGGAAGAGAAGAACGATCATCAATGGCAAATGGCAATTACAAAAAGCAACACCAAGAGCCAGCTTCACGCTCAGGAGAGAACGCTGCACCTCTTCCTCGTGGTTTTCGGTGCTCTACACGATCAGAGAAACTTCTCTAGTAACAAACTATAGAAATGATCCCTGAAAGTATAGTCTTAACGTCACGCTCACAGCCTCTGCTGGGTCCTGGCAACCCGCACACATTACAGCAATGGCGATTTGTTTTCCACATTACTATCTTTTCAGAAATATCACATAAATGTATTTTGTAAGTATCATTTATATACAACATTCAAAAAAGCATTCTGAATACTCTTAAAATGATTTTTCTTTGAGAAACTTTAAGACTTCACGTTTCTTAATTAGCCTATTATGGACCGACAGCCAATGAAAAGCTACTGTCTTTCTGTCTTAAAACGCTAACACTTCCGGACCAGTTTAAAGCAATGGGTGTGCTCCCGTGCATCAAATTACTTTTCTGACACACTGCCTCTATGGGTGAGATTTAAAAAAAAGAAAAAAAATTACCCCCTAAAATCCTGAATTTTGAAAGCTAATAAGGGGGTTAATCTGACTCTTTTACTTAACTGCTGGTTGCCCACGTAAGTCGAGTGTGAGGGGCGTTTATCCAGCTCACCAGCGTCGTTTTTCCAAAACAATGTATGGATACCTAGGTCAATCTTAACTGAAAAATGGAGAGATTTATTTTGAAAACTGCCTCTCAATTTTTTTTAATTAGGTAGGTAAAAAGTAACAAAAAACTGTAACAACAAAACAAAGTAACAAAAACTGTTACTTTGGGGTTTTTTTCTTTCTTGGGAGGTGTCTGCTTTTATGTTATTTTGTACTGTTTGAATTTTTCAACCTAAGAGTTGGATCAACAGTCAACACCCATGGAAGCAGCAGTCAAGAAATCAAACAACGTTACTGCATTGGGCAAATCTGCTGCAAAAGACCACCTTAAAGTGTCCCAAAGCAAAGATGCTACTTTGAAGACTGAGGTACGCCTGACCCGAGCCACGGTATTTTTAATTGCCTCATATGCATGCGAAAGCTGGACAATGAAAACGTATGACCAAAGAAGAATTGAGCATTTGAATTATGGTGTTGGTGAAGAATATTCAATATCCGATGGACTGCCAGACGAACAAACAAATCTGTCTTGGAAGAAGTACAGGGTACAGCCAGAATGTTCCTTAGAAGCAAGGATGGCAAGACTTGCTTCCTTTGAACATGTTATCAGGAGGGGACAATCCCTGGAGAAGGAAATTGTCATGGTTTGAATTATGTCCCTGCAAAAATGTGTGTATCAATTTGGCTGGGCCATGATTCCCAGAATTGTGTGGTTGGCCTCCATTTTGTGATTTTAATTTTATGTTAAAGAGGATTAGGGTGGGATTGTAATCCACCACCCTTACCCAGGTCACATCCCTGATCCAATGTAAAGGGACTTTCCCTGGGGTGTGGCCTGCACCACCTTTTACCTTACACGAGATAAAAGGAAAGGGAAGCAAGCAGAGAATTGAGGACCTCATACCACCAAGAAGGCAGTGCTGGGAGCAGAGCACGTCCTTTGGACCTCAGGTTCTTGTGCTGAGATGCTCCCAGACCAAGGGAAGATTGATGACATGGACCTTCCTCCAGAGAAAGCCTTTCCCTGGAGCTGATGCCCTGAATTTGGACTTCTGGTCTACTGGACTGTGAGAGAAATTTCTCTGTTAAAGCCATCCACTTGTGGTGTTTCTGTTAGAGCAACACTAGATGACTAAGATAGACATCATGCTTGGTAAAGCAGACGGTCAGCGAAAAACAGGAAGACCCTCAATAAGACTGATTGACACAGTGGCTGCAATAACGGGCTCAAACATAGCAATGTTTGTGCAGATGGCGCAGAACCAGGCAATGTTTTGTTCTGTTGTGCGTGAGGTCACTGTGAATTGGAACTGACTCTATGGCACCTATCAACATGAAGACTATCAGCTTTATTTTTAAATATCAGCAGGTGAACCATGGCTCCTTTTTTGTTTTCTTCTGTGTGCCTGTCAGTATTAAACCAAATAAAAACCAATGTAAATATATTATTTAAAAATAAAAATAAAGTGACGAGTCTGTAAGGTTATATACCCCTCCCCCCCAAAACTGTCTTAAATGTGATTTCTCTTATTAAAAAAAGAAAAAAGCTAACATTTCTCTAGCGCTTTACTATGAACTAGGCCCTCTAATAAACCTTTTACATGGACCACTCCCTTTCATCTTGGAAATAACCCTAAGAAGTCGAGGAAATGGAAGCTTAGAGATGTTAAGTCGTTCCCCCAAGGCCACATGCCTATTCCTTGCCACCTTGATCACTAATATTCCCCCATCCTGTATCTTGTAAGTCCTTATCTCTTTCCATGTTACCCAAGTAAAGGCTCTTTGTGTTTTGCCTAGAGACAAGAAATTGTAGGTAAAATTTAATAAACTGACCTTAACCCATTGCTGTCAAGTCGATTCCAACTCATATCGACCCTACAGGATAGAGCAGAACTGCTCCATAGGGTTTCCAAGGCTGCAATCTTTACAGAAGCAGACTGCCACATCCTTCTCCCGCATAGCTGCTGGTTGGTTTGAACTGCTAGTCTTTCAGCTAGCAGCCAAGCACTTAACCACTGTGCCACCAGGGCTCCTTATTGAAGAGAATTAGGCAGTGGAAGCATTAGGGAGTGGGCATTTAATATGGAAAAAGGGGGAATCTGGGTGCATTGTCTGAAGAGCAGTGAGATATTTAAGCATTTCTCATAAATGCTAAGAAAGCAAATCATAGCGCAATCACAGCGGGTAGTAGCAGGGAATGAACCACTTAATAATAGGAGCTGTCTTAGGAACCAGAAGTACTGGAGAGAGCAAAGGCTAAGAACAAATACATCCCCTGACCTAAGGCCCTCTGGACAGTTCCTGACAGACAACGGTTATGTATTTACTCAAAGAACAGCACTCTCATGCTCTGTGGCAGATAACAAGGAGAACGAGACCCACAATTGCTATCCTCACGGAGACTACGAATAGTTCCAGTGAGTCATCCAACTGGGTAAAAGAAAAGAAACAACAAACCAGACCCGTTGCTGTCAAGTCGATTCCAACTCACAGCGACCCTACAGGACAGAGTAGAACTAGCCCCACAGAGTTTCCAAGGAGCACCTGGGTAGCAGCCATAGCATTTAACCACTACACTACCAGGGTTTTCTATCCAGCTGGGTAGCTGGTGAAAACTCAGCCTCCCAAGATGAACCTGAGACCTTGCCCTACACTTAACCACGACCATATGTACACACCTACAGAACACGCCACTTCTGGGCACTAGAGACTTGGGGTCAGGCGGTGGGGAGAGAAGCAGAGACAAGACAGAGAAAAACACTATCCTCAACTTTAAAATGTGAAATAAGGAATTGGACTAAATCACCTACCATGAAAGTCCCTTCTAGCTCTGTATCACCAGAGATAGTAAATGCTAGACCAGGATTTCAGTCCAGGACGTCTGACTCTGGGGTGCAGTGCCTAACAGTCACTAGATCTCAGGTGCAGATTTATCTGTCTGACATCTAGGTGACTGACATCTTGTCTTGAATATCTCAAAAGCACCTTAAACTCAATGTATCCAACCGAACGAATCTTGCCTGTTCCCCAGAACTGGGCCTCTTCCAGTTCTCTGCCTCAGTGATGGTACTACTGTCCACCCATCCAGTGCACACACCAGAAAACAAGGGTCATCCTTGAAACCTTTCTTCTTATCAACCTGTCATAAAAGCTGCTGAATTATCTCCTAAGCACCCCTCAAATTCATCCACCTTTCTCCAGCTCGACCACCCCTGGCTAGTCAAGTGATCATCTCTCAGCGAGATGCAGCCTGGTCTACATTCGTGGCTGCCTTCTCCAATCCATTATCCAAGCAGTAGCCAGAGGTTTCCCTTCAAACTTTAATCATGTTACTGTTTAGAGATAATTATCCATGAATCTCTCACATTTCTGACTATCAGTCTTTGTTCTGGAATATCTTTTCAAGAATGTGTGCACAGTAGACTTGGGAGGCTAGAGATAGTATCCCCTCCAGAGTAAAGGCACAGGTGTCTTAGGTTAGGTTCTCTAGAAGATGTGTTACAGCAAAATGAAGAAGTAAACCAGAAAAAAGATTAACAGTATACAAGAAAGTGAATCCAGAATGTCAGCTGCTTGGGGTAGCGCTTTGGGACTGTTGCTCAAAAAGGCAAATTAAAGAAAGAAAGATCTTAAAGAAAACAGAGAAACCCTGTTACAAAATTCTTTTTTTTTTTTTCCCCTATGTTCCATTTCTTTATTGTGCTTTAGGTGAAGGTTTACAGAGCAAATTAAGTTTCTCATTAAACAATTAATATACATATTGTTTTGTGACATTAGTTGCCAACCCCACAACATGTCAACACTCTCCCCTTCTCAACCCTGGGTTCCCCATTACCAGCTTTCCTGTCCCCTCCTGCCTTTTGTCCTTGCCCCTGGCCTGGTGTGCCATTTAGTCTCGCTTTGTTTTATGGGCCTGTCTAATGTTTGGCGAAGGGTGAACTTCAGGAGTGTCTTCAATACTGAGTTAAAAGGGTGTCTAGGGGCCATACTCTAGGGGTTTCTCCAGTCTCTGCCAGACCAGTAAGTCTGGTCTTGTTTTGTGAGTTAGAATTTTATTCTACATTTTTCTCCAGCTCTGTCTGGAACCCTCTATTGTGATCCCAGTCAGAGCAGTTGGTGGTGGTAGCCAGGTGCCATCACAGCTCTGCTGGATTTAGTCTGGTGGAGGCTGTAGTAGTTGTGGTCCATTAGTCCTGTGGGCTAATCTTTCCCTTATGTCTTTTGGTTTCCTTCATTCTCCCTTGCTCTAGGCAGGGTAAGACCAGCGGAGTATCTCAGACAGCTGCTCAAGCTGTTACAAAATTCTAAGAGCATGTTTAACACAAGCCTGTCCTAGAAACAGCATCTGCATAGAAAACTTTTCAGCAACTCAGAAAACCATAGGAAGAAATAGATCCTAAGTCGTAATCAAAGGTGCTGAAAGAAAAAGGGAAAGTGTTAGTTAAAAACAGGCAAACTAAAGCATTATTGCAAACCAAATGCTTAAACAAAGATGAAAGAAATCTAGTAAGCATGACAAGTAGA